CAACCAGATCTCCCGTCTGTGCGCACCTTCGGCAAGGGCGAAGGTGTGGCAGAAGGGACTCGCCATGGCGGCGAACGCCCATGCCGCCCTCCGCGGGTCAATGCGCCCGTTGCTGGCTCGTCCGATGTGTGCAGCGCTCACTAGCGGTTACGCACGCATCCGGCGTCTGTCGTCCGACGGACGCGTCCCACCTGAACGGCGTCGTCGCCCCGTCCAGAGACTTCGTTTTCGGGCTATTCCCCACAATGCACGGCGCAGGGGTGGTGAACAAGGCTCCAAATCCCCGGCGGGGTAAGGAGAGTGGATCGGCACCGATATCCAGACATGTCGCGTAGTATGCCACACATCCACATTTGCGTGGTGAGATTCGATGGCGCGAAGGGGAAAGACATGCAGGAGGAGGGGAATGTTGTATCTATCTCTCACCATGATCGCTGAGGTCGTTTCACGGGGGGCGCTAAGGATGGGTGAGTACCTAACGACTTTGTGTTATGCCCGTCATTTGCTCACGAGTTGCATAGCAGCCAGTGCAAGACTCACCAAGAATCTATGTAGGGCCTGAGCGAGATGATGTTGGTGTGGGGGGCTCTCACGCTGGAATCAATGTCAGCCGGATGGTTGCGGGTTGCGGGCACCAAAAGATCACAACAAACGAAATAACTCGGCTCAGAACGTATACAATCTTCGATACTTCTGAGGATGAATGAATGCTGATGCTGATGCGGAAATTTGTAATCATAGGGGGTACAGCGTTGTCTCCCGTAGGCAAACCCCTTGATAGAGACCTATAGAGTGGAGGGTCGCTAGAAATCAGGCACGGATTGTGCCGTAGTAAAACTTTAATGAAATTATAAGATGCCATCGTCTCTTTTCGAAATTCGTAGATACGGCGCACCACATTCACATAATAGCCCGCATGTGCTCTCCATACCGGTCTTTCGAAGTGCGATACCATAGCGGCGGCAGTTGAATGGCGGATAATCACCTGTAGTCCCGCTGGCGCAAATCCTCTTGCTGACTACCAGAAAACGCAGAGTGAATCTACCCAACTTGGAAGACGCCAGTGTCATATAAGCTGCATTGGGGAAACGATCAGGCTGAGGCGCGTGTGCCTATGACAGTTGCGCGAATCTACGGTTGATTCCGTGCCGGCAACTACCGCACTGTATTCGAGTCGGATGTTCAGCGCGAGTCCGCCTCTGCTGTTCACAGTCCACGATTAAGATTGGCTGGGTGCTCCCTACGACTGGCGCATGCGATGTCTCATATCCGAGTCTATTTATGATGCCGTCTGGACCATGCGCTCTGACATCTTACGACTTACTCAGTGCTCATCGTAACAGAAACCTGCTGCCTCTCAACTTCAAGGAAGGTCGAAGAGCTCCAGTATGTCTTGATTATCCCTCTGTATTCAATTGTTATCTCGAGCATGCAATTGAGAGAAGGAAAGAAAGGGGAGAAGGAGGAGGGAGAGCAGGGTCCCCAGCACTAGCGTCTCTATCTAGCATTGAAATAGTACACATACAGCACTGCGAAGCCACGCGTGTCCTTCTCGCCGAAGTTGACTATGTTTATGCGTTCTTTGGATGCCATCGCAACCTCGTTCAGCGTATACGCCGTAATGCACCCAAGCTGCAGGAGCTCGTTTCCCCCAACGAACAGATCAAGTTCCTCGAGCCCCATCTCGCACTTCGGCGCCAGCTCGCGCTACAGCGCTTCCAGGTTCGCTAGATTATTCTGAAATCCATCGCCGGTGCTAACATGATGAGCGCGGGTCACGATGTTGACCTCCAACGCAGCCCGGGTGGGGTACTGTGGCAGGAGAGTGAGTAGCCTGGTGCAGACGTAGTGGAGGACAGTAATGTGCTCATCTGGCATCGGCGGTCAGACACTCTATGCGGAAGTGAGTGACGTGATGCGCATCGATATGCTCTGCGCTCTGCTGCCATGTCCTGTAGTGGATCCTGGATCCCTGCCTGGATGTCTTCTGCTCGGACATTGGGGTGCATTTTCTGTCTCTGCGCTTTCATCTCTGCCCGTATGGCCTGCATCTCTATCCACGCGACTTGTTCTTGCACTCATCAGGATGAAGTTTCCACTGCTAGCTTATCGCAAAGGGGTACAGTTTGGACAGAAGAAGGGTGTAATGCGTGGGCTGCACTCGCGACTGCGTCTGAGCCTCAGGATCATCAGATCTCACCGCTGTCGCAGGGTCCTGAGAGATCCTAAATATAATTTCTTTGTCTCTCCACAGATCGTTTGGCTAGTGCACGGCGGCGCATGGTAAAAATAAATGGTATGTCACAGCCACTCATCTTTGCAATCGTGGATGTGGTACTTTGCAGTCTAGAATCACAGAGGTCTTCTCTGGATGCCCAAGTGTTTCGAGGAGCGGCATTGTGTCGCCATTATCATCGCTACTTTGTAAGTTTTTCTGTTTCATCGCGAATGCAGTCAGATTGTGGGGAAGATCTCACGTAAAAAAAAATCCAAAACAAGCCACAGTCGCGGAGTCTAGGCCGCCTTGTCCTCCATGCTCGTCGTGGCGTAGGAGCGTGTTGCGGGCCACGACGCGCCCCTTTGGCCTTTGGCCACGGATAGCATGCGCTTTGTCCTTTCAGAGTCACCCGGCCACGTCCACTCTCAGATATAAATATCCCTGCAACCAAAAACCCTCATCTAATTCGAAACTCGCCTCTCAACTTCAATTCACAATGCAACCCTTTGGAGCGCTCTGTATCATCTGGCGCCATCCGGATTCCTGCCTCAGACTTCCTGGTCCAATCGTCGCTCTCTGGTATTCTACGTCGTGGGTCACTCTCAGCCCATCACTGCCGTCACAGCCAGTATGTGAGCCCTCTCAGGCAACGCGTCGGATCCGCGGCGCGCCTGCGACATGTTCCTGGTCGTAGACGTCCTCACTGACCCGTAAGTCGAGTCTCGCTCGTTTTATCCACATGTCTCACATAGCCCTCACACATACAGCTTCGCGTCTCCGTCTTCAGGCCCGCTTCGCCTTGCACATGCCCTTACTTCGCGCGCTACCTGAGCTTCATGTCCGCATTGCACTCCATAGTGTGAACTATTACTGCTCGATGCAGTGCCCTCAGCGTAAACGAGCGCGAAAACACCGAGCCACTTCAGACCCGCACAGTCAGCCGCGCGGCTTGGACATTGGGGGCGATGTGGTTCCGCGACTGTATGTGGGTGTCTGCACCGTGGTGGTCGGCTGACTTGCGGAGACGATGGGGAAGCAACCCACACACTACAATCACTGGATATGTGTGTACTCGATTCGTTCATTAGGATGGCGGCGTGGGTCCCAACGAGGATAACTTGTCTGGGAGTCTGGCATTGAGAGCAGAGTGGGAGATGTACCATTACCGTCAGGAACTCCGAGGATGATCCTCTGGTTCTTGCTGTAGCTGTGCTTGCTGTCAATTTGTTCCTCCAGACTGGAATTGAGGTCAGTTGACCTTATTGAGGTTCGTGATGTTCAGATGATACCCAAATGTTGACATGGCTGTACCACATCTCCATACCCCCCATACTGTATCTGAAAACCCAATACCATGAGCACTATGATGTGCTCGTTCTACAACTACCATGACGCTGTATATCAGAAGAAATGGAAGCAAGACACTGTACTGCATATATTTTCCTCATGGGCATTGCGAGCGTAGGACGCTGCATCTGCCTTTTTCCGGGACAGCTAACATCGATCTTGCGCACCGCTTACTCCAGTTAGAAAGCGGCCGTATGTGCAAGTTCGACGACAGCTTGTCGGGACACCGCTATTGTATCTCGGGTCGAGCCCGATCGACGGCATCTTTTGGTGGAAGCAAGACGAGGTGAATGCACGAGTCGTAGAAAATACATCATCGTGTCTGTCTATTTATTCTCGTCTACAATTCGGAGATATGGTACGACGGAGCAAACTGGACTTCGTCCCACCTCGTCGCCCAGCGTCTTACTACCAACATCTCAGAGATGGCATCTATGAACACCCAGTATGTGTGGGTTGCGCAACCAACATGCACATCATTGGTTAATCGTTGGCGCACGAGGTGGTGAGGGGGAGCAGGAGAGCGGGGAACAGGGGCCAGGTTAAATGTGCCAATAGGCTCGCACACGTTCCGCGCAGGTGTTTGACGGGAGATAAAACTGTGCAGGCTGGCGATGCGGGTTCAGACGTACCAAGGCGCATCACGATGTGGAGTATCGGTACTAGAGCGAGGATTGGAGCAAGTTCGGGCGAGATGAAGGGAAACTGCAAGGGAATGCGCATGCCCATGATGGACGTCTAGTGGTGTGTAGCTCAGGCGATGGGAGGGCGATGCGATGCGATGCCTGAGGATGACCTACACTTGAAGGTTTTAGCGAACTGCGTGGCTGGATATCTCGAGCCACGACAGGCCAGAGTGCCACCGTGTACTATAGTTGCGATGGGCCTGAGCACGGCGTACATGGTGTCTTGCGCTACGCTTGGTCGTTGTCTTGAACGATGAGGAGATGCTTACAAACATGGACATAGCAAGCAAGAACGAGTGCTCAAGACTTGGAGTGAAAGAGATGTACCTGGATGCATACTTCTCCGACTGCTGGAATGTCACCTATACAGGACGTCAGCTGTCGCATAATAACTAGCGGCGATGTTGACCGTCTATTCAAACATCAACTCGCCGACGAAGGTACAGAGAGGAATATATGTATGAAGAAATGGGAAGCAATATAGTTGAAGAAATAACGGGAGAGGAAGAGAGCGCTGTACATTGGTGACAGCTCGTAAACGGTGAAGCTTTGACGACTCACCGATCTTGCATCCGTGCAATGCCCGGTTACCGTGCGGACCCAATTTCAACGCGCTCTTTCGACCATGCCGAGTGTGTTTTGAAAACGTTGAAAGTATTGTGAGACGTCGATGGTAGACTCAGAAGCAAAACAACAAGATGACGGGAAGACGAACGCGGTCGAGAATGTCGAAAAGCATTTGGCTAGTCTCGCGCTTCGGCAATGACCGACGGACATCGGCGCTCGATGAGCAGCCCTACTCGAGCGTTGATGCAGGTATTTGGGACGGAAACCTCTGAGTCTGTTGCCATTCAGTATGTGTCTAACCGGGGAATCGTAAACTCACCAGTAATGCAGATTTGTAGTATGCGTGTCTCCTAAATGTTGCACCAGCCAGCTACTAGTTTGGCAACGGGGGCTCGCCGCTAGACAAGCTAAGACAACGTGGCAAAGATATCGACCGGTGTAGCCCCCTCCAATCGTAAGTGGACCGTCTCCTTATCCCAGCTGCCTGCAGCGCGCACTGGGTGGAAAGCACACGGTGGGACTCGACCGATGGAGAGTCGACCACAGCGGACTAGCGGACCATCCAACATCAATTCTTCGCCGTACTTGGAGCAGCTCCGTTGGCACGGACCAACTCTACATCAAGTCAAACGTACTATACGTCTCGGACTCTGCGGTCGTCAGTGCTTATGACTATCTCCTACATAGACTCTCCGGCGCCCCCTACACCAATCAATTGCACAATGCGATTGATTCATGTGTACTGGTCTTCAAGACAAATCTCATGGACGCCAAAGGATGCATATGTCTCCAATTATCTTAGAAACATCAACTTTACCCGTATCAGTGCTCACAGGCCGATTACTGAGTTCACGATTTTTCTCACATCTCTGTGGCATCTCTGTATGTGTTTGGGCCTACACGTATAGACCTGTCGATGGTGTAGTCAGGGTGAATTATTTTCATGAAGGATAGCCAGCTGTACCATCCACTGTGCAATACATTACCTTGTGGATGTGTAAGCTCATGGCCAAATTTCTCGCTTATCACGATGCTACTGTCTTCATCTCAACGTCGTATCTGTGATAGAAATTCCGGCTTCACCAATGTCCTCCCAAATCGCCCAGGCCGAAATTCATTGATACCAGCGGGTCTCTAGTGGTTGTGTCTCCAATGCCTCGCAGAATCGCAAGAACCAAAGGACTTGAGGCGACTCAGGATCACGTTCGTCTCCCCTACAACCACACGCAGCGTTCTAACGCCCCTGTCTTCCGTGAGTGCGTTCGTCCTAGACACAGTGAGTCCACTCTGTCCGCTATATGTAATTAGCTTACCTAACGTATCTTCGTATTGCACTCTATGCCACTGTGGTCATGCATTGTTCTGATCACTGGCAAGTCAATCGTAGGGAAGACAAGGAGCCATTTGGTACGATTCCGTTATATCTTTGCGGTCGATTCATACATGCCAGTCTTCTAGACGAGATTTAAGCGCCTTTAGGGTCGCGCAAACCGTCTTGTTCTCATCTCTTATGCTTATCGTACTCTTCGTAACAGTGTAGGCTGACACCATGACGAAGAAGGTTCATTGTCTATCATGTTGCAATTGCTTCCCTTATCACAATGTCATCTATGATGGAAGTACTGGTTTCGTCAACATTCTTCCAAACCACCCAGATCGAATTCCATGCATATCAGGATGCATCCAGTAGGTGTCTTTCCGTGCCACAGTGGTTCATAATACGGGTCCCTTTTTCCAGTTGTTCGTTACTTAGTCCCTCCTCGTCCATAAATCGTACGTGAGACTTCCATCGACATGTAATTTGTCCCAACTCTTGCACTTATAGTCGATCCAACGTGAGTTGTCTACCACCACGACTACGAGAGAAGATACTCGTAACTTACGATCTCTCACAAGCTACCTGAGCAGTATCTGCGTTTATACCTCCTCTGGTGCGTCACTTTACATGTGCATTTCACGCGTTTATGAAGTATCAGCACGGTAGCTCTCGCCGTCTATGACTACATGCTCTCCTTCTCCCTTGAAGTTGATCTGTTCTGGTTGTGTCCTGCTTCTTGGGC